CCCCCCCCCCTGCCGCACACACCTTTTCCCTTTTTCGTGACTTTTAGTACATGAAGAGGATTCCTGATGAAATTCGTTAAAATCCCGCTTTAATTATGTACAGATTCTCATCTTCACTCATTAAGGGTGACATTTCAATCAGGAATGTGACTCAGAATTAGTCATCCCCATCTCTTTCTCCGTTTAGTTACATGACCGTGGACAACTTTCAGCGTGGGATTTTTACTTGGCCAATGAATTTTGGATGGAGGCAGATTCCGCAAGAGGTCATCGAGAAAAATAAAATCAAGGAAACTGATATAATAAGGTAAAAAAACCAAACCCGAGCGCTTTGTGAGCCAACCTGTTCCTTTGTTGGCAGCTTGGCAGCGAAGGCTCCTTCGAGGCCAGACCTTGTTCCTTGCTCCTAAGGACAGCAGAGGCCATGGCGCACGGGGCGATCACACCGTCCGCCACGGCAAAGCCCGGCAAGCCTTGCTCACCTCCTGCGGCACTGCTGGCGCTTCGCCGGTGCTGCCGGGATCGGGGGAACCTGCCGTTGCGTGTTTCCCTTCCACTCCCCGTCGCGGCTCTCGGACCGTCATCGGTTTTAACGCTGCGTGCAGTGAGGTGACGAACCGGGTGGTCCTGGCTGTCTCTGTGAGCGCAGGCGCGGGCACCGTCCCCCAGCATTTGGTAGCCCACAGCTTCTGGGCGATTCCCTGGTCAAAGCAAGCGGACAGGGACGGGCGCTTCCCGGCAAGCTGACACGCCATGTGGCCTCTCTCTTCCCAGGTGCCCCGTCATGGCGGGTGGCCTGTTTTCCATCGATAAGAAGTATTTCTTTGAGCTGGGAACGTATGACCCAGGACTGGATGTTTGGGGAGGTGAAAATATGGAGCTTTCATTCAAGGTACGTCGCTCCGACACGCCTGCATCCCCCTCAGCCCGGCTCGGGGGCTTGGGGTGCAGGCAGGGTCTCCCAGGGCAGCCCCGTGCCGGAGACCCCATCCCCCCCAGCACTGTACTTATTTCCCTGCTTCAGTTCCGGCTCGCACAAAGCCAGCACCCGACACCTGCCCGTGTTTCCATCAAAGCAACCTCTGTTTTTCAGGTCTGGATGTGCGGGGGAGAGATCGAGATTGTTCCGTGCTCCAGGGTTGGGCACATCTTCAGGAACGACAACCCTTACTCCTTCCCGAAAGACCGGGTGAGAACGGTGGAGAGGAACTTGGCCCGCGTTGCGGAGGTCTGGTTGGACGAGTACAAGGAGTTATTCTACGGCCACGCTTACCACTTAGTCTTGAAAAACCTGGATGTCGGCGACCTGACTCAACAAATCCAACTGCGAAAGAAGCTTCAGTGCAAGAGCTTCAGGTGGTACCTGGAGAACGTCTACCCGGACCTGGAAGCTCCCCTGGTGAAAGCCAGCGGGCTGGTACGTACCCAACGACTTGCTGTCCCTCGTTTAGACATGTTTTCCGTGGCTGGTTAGGGACTTGGTAGCATCCCAGCATGTTTGTCTCCGAGTTGCTTCCCTGGTAACATTTGTGAATCTGTACCATGTCACGGCGGTCTGGATTCCCCGGTGTTTTTATAAAGAAATAGGTCACGGTTCCCAGAGACGGTTTCTGGCTGAAGAGCTGGTTTGGTGTTTAAACCCCGGTGAGCTGCCCGTGCAAGGTTGGGTTGGGGGCTGTGCCCCAGGGTGGGATGTCCGGCACCC